TTCTTCATACCTACTACCTACTTGCCCTGCCTCCCTCCTCTGCACAGACTCCGGCTCGAAGGATCAAGTCCCCCCAAGGATTCTTCTCTCTGAGTCACTATTCATCTTACTTATTACCGATTTACCGATTACCGTACATTTTTGTTGCTTATTTGTTACTTATCACTATATCTACATCATAATTTTTACCCTGTGGGGGATGCTGACATCCCCCACTTTTCCCGGCGTCCTGACTCCTCCTTGCCGTAGCATATGCAGACTTAGGATAGCAGTATTGGATATATACACTTGCTCCGACCGGGATTCGATCCCCAGTCTCCCACGCCAAAGTCAGGAGCATTATCCACTGTGTTACCCTGCATCTACATAGACTCAGGTGTGCGTGTGTGCTTCTGTAGATGGAAAAAAGAAAGGTGAACCAAAAAAATAAATAAATAAACCATGCAATTATACAACACTGATTCAAAGAGAAGAATGTATCAATGTATCAATCAAGTAATAAAGAAAAATACGAATACACTAATGAATATTAAAACAGAAAGCTGCAAGTTATTAGTATCATGAAATTAAAATAAATAATGTGATGTGATGTCCGTCGATGAGATAAACGCAACTGTCCTCACAGTCCGTGCCGGCGCAGTGAGGGAGAAATGCACAGACTGCTTCATGTTGGAAGTGTTGTAGTCGGACTAACGGATGGTTGGACTACTGGGTATGAAATCTGACGGTCAGAATAAAGGCATTAAAATGGTCGGATTAATGGTCAGTCGACATTATGGGACTAAAACAATACAACTCGCCGTAGACCTGCATGGTCAGATTAGTGGGTCAGAGTTATGGGTAGTCGGACCCCCTGGTGGCGCCATTGATGTTAGGTATGGATACACACTGGGTGGTTATTTGTGTCCAGTTTCTCCTGAGTGAGAGGAGCACACTGATATGCACGCAGGAAAACACAAAACAAAGCACAGAACTAGGTTTAACGTTGGTGTTCAAGGATATATATAATATACATAATGTATGTATGTATGACCGTTTAGGGCTTCCGTAGTATACCGTGACTTTTTTCGATATACTATACTATAAGTTCTTTAGCACTTTATTCGACATACTATGACTTTTTTTTTTTTTTTTGCAGTTTTTTGACATGCTATACTATGCCTATTTTAGAACTTTTCCGACATACTATCCTATGACTTATTTCGACATGCTATACTATGACTTTTTCCATCATACCATACTATGAATTTTTTGGGATCTTTTTCAACATGCTACACTATGACTTTTTTTTACATTTTTTTTCGACATATTATACTATGATTTTTTAACATGCTATACTATGACTTTTTTGGGATCTTTTTCGACCTCTTAAGACTTTGTTCAACATACTATACTATGTCTATCTTAGCACTTTTTTCTACATACTATACTATGACTTTATTCAACATGCTATACCATGACTTGTTTAGCACTTCTTTTTTTTTTTTTTTTTTACATCCTATACTATGACTTTTTCAGCATTTTTCGGACATACTATCCTATGACTTATTTCCACTACTACTGACTTTTTTCAGACATACTATACTGCGAGTTTTTTCTCTGATAATCATGTAAGAGTTTGTATCCTTATTTAACTACCTGTGGATGATTCTGTGTACCACTCAACTCACTGTATGTAATGTTGATGGATTCACATTGAAGGTCACCAGTGGCAGGGGGGGGTAAGAAAGTAAACAAAAGAAACTGTCTTACCTCATAGCTCCACTTGTTCCTTCTGCTGATCTGTGTAACGTTCCTCTTCTTCCCAGATGTCGTCCACTGAGGCTGTACATCTACAGGAGTCTTAACATGCAAGAAAAGTCAGCATTAAGGCTGGAAAGTGGAGAACTGCATCATGTTGATGAAAAAAAAGACAAAGATCAACAGGATGTCGACAAACCTGAAGACTGTTCACTTGTTCCCACAGAGCGTTTCTACATCAGTCCACCTGCAGTGATCTACACATTGAAACACAAAATAAACTCATCAGAATTTTAAGTTGTTTTGATTTAAAGATTAACGTTGTTGTACACATTCAAACCAACCTCAGTGTATGAAATAAAAAAGCTTCACCTCTCTGAAGCCAGTGATGTGATTGTAAATGCTGCCATCTTGTGATCTCATTGGATATTACATAAACACCTGTACCCTGAATACTTCTGATTAAAGGGACTCATGTATCCTCATGTTTGTCCATGCTTAAATGTCTCAGACACAGACAGATGTTGTTGTTGTTGTTTACTGTAACAGTAACAGTGTTTTCAGCTTTACAAAAACATATGAGGTTATGAATATTTAATGTGAATACACTTTACCTCATAGTTTTAATGATGGAAATTATCAGGACCAACAAGAATGTTGAGTGTTTTTCTACATACTAAACTATATATATATATATAGATATATACAGATGTTTGTTTTGACATGCTAGTTATTTTCATCGTACAACAATATGAGTGTATTGTGAGTTTTTTACAATGTACTACAGGTTCCCTTTTTTCGAGACTTTTTTGACATACTATGCTGTGACTTTTTTGCAATATGCTGTAGCATTACTATTTTCCGACTGACAAAACTAGGACTTTTTGGACATGCTA